GTGCATGTGTCTTTACAGCAGCATGATTTATAATCCTTTGGGTATATACCCAGTAATGGGATGGCTGGGTCAAATGGTATTTCTAGTTCTAGATTCTTGAGGAATCGCCACACTGTCTTCCACAATGATTGAACTAGTTTACAGTCCCACCAACAGTGTAAAAGTGTTCCTCTCTACTAAAATTTTTTTTGCATTTTTAGTAGAGACAGGGTTTCACCATGTTAGCCAGGATGGTCTTGATTTCCTGACCTTGTGATCCACTCACCTTGGCCCCCAAAGTGCTGGGATTATAGTCGTGAGCCACTGCGCCCAGCTGTGTTATTTTCTTTAAATAAATTTGATCAAACATTGAATCCCATATCCTGCTCAGCTAATGGGAGATTCAGGCATAGTCATTCCTGGGCCTCCCTTCCCAAAGCCCCCAAGATCACTTATTTTTGTGTTTGATTTGAGCCCTTTACTTCTAGCAGCTGGAGGCCGTGTTTGGTGAGTGAGTAATCACTGCTGAGTGTGGGAAACACAGTTGTTCAATCTTGCCATCAACCTGGGCACTGCCTTAGAAAGATGTAGGCCCCAGGAGGCTTTGTAAGCTTCAGACATTTATTTCTGCCAATGCCATTGGAAATTTCTCTTGTATGTTTTCCTCAGTTGCAGTTTCTCTCCTATGACCCTCCAAGAAACATGGAACAATCTCCCTAATGGCCTGAACTTTTGAAACAAAGCTAGGAAGGGAAGTGTCTTGCAGGCAACTCCTTTTGATAGCTTTTGGCATAATCCCTTGAGTTAAGGGGGCTTACTGTCAATTATTTGCTACAGAATATTTACCGGGGAGAAATAGATACATTAATATCTCAAAAATTCTTCTGAGGAATGTCTCACACCTACTGACTGTTTATTATGAGCCAGAAATTGGTCAGGTGTAGTGGCTCACGTCTGTAATTCCAGTACTTTGGGAGGCCAAGGCAGGCAGATCATCTGAGGTCAAGAGTTCAAGACTAGCCTGACCAACATGGAGAAACCCCATCTCTGCTAAAAAATACAAAAATCAGCTGGGTGTGGTGGTGCGCGCCTGTAATCCCAGCTACTCGAGAGGCTGAGGCAGGAGAATCACTTGAACCCAGGAGGCGGAGGTTGTGGTGAGCTGAGATCGTGTCACTGCACTCCAGCCCGGGCAACAAGAGGGAAACTCGGTCTCAAAAATAGATAGATAGATAAAGAAATAAAGAGCCAGAAATTATGAGAACCTCATTACATACCTAATCTTATCCAATCCTGCCAATATCCTAATGAATTAGGCCTATTATTGTCCCCATTCTACAGGTGAGGAAAATGAGGCTCACAGAGTTTATGTAATTTTCCCAACACAGCTGGCAAGTGGTAGAATTGGGATTTGCTATGGACTGGCCTCAGAGTCACACTCCCTTACAGCTGTGCTCCTTCCATCCCATATACCTTTACCTCCATTGCCAATGTCACTGCCAGTTCTCTAATCACGAGGGAGCTACTGTTGGCTCCCCATCATCTTTCATTGCTTACATCCATTGTTATGGAATTAAAGAAATCTTCCATCCAGCTATTCTTCTTTTTTTTTTTTTTTAGGCGGAGTCTCGCTCTGTCGCCCAGGCTGGAGTGCAGTGGCCAGATCTCAGCTCACTGCAAGCTCCGCCCTCCCGGGTTCACGCCATTCTCCTGCCTCAGCCTCCCGAGTAGCTGGGACTACAGGCGCCCGCCACCTCGCCCGGCTAGTTTTTTGTATTTTTAATAGAGATGGCATTTCACCGTGTTAGCCAGGATGGTCACGATCTCCTGACTTCGTGATCCACCCGTCTCGGCCTCCCAAAGTGCTGGGATTACAGGCTTGAGCCACCGCGCCCGGCCCCATCCAGCTATTCTTGGCTTCCTTTAAGATGCGCATTAAGTTGTTCTCCCGTATTGATGTAGTGTTTTACTTCTTCATACTCTCTCTTCCTTAAGTCTGGACTATTCTGTCTCTGATCAGGCTTCTCTGTGTCAAGACCAGTGTTTAGTATATTTAAGTGTGCAGGAAGATGTTTCTTTACAGATAGTTACTAAAAATATACACTAACAAGACCTAGTCCTAAACGTTTGGATTGAGTGGGTCCTGGGAGAGCTGTGGGAGCTCAATTTTAACAACACCTTCAGGTAATTCTGCTGTAGGGGTTTCACAGTCCACACTCTGAGCATCATTGCTCTATTCCCTATCCTTTCTTTTCTTAATTTGCTAATATTAATTCAAGTCAATGCTTGTTTGGTTGCAAGGAACAGAAACTCTCTCAAGGCAGTTCAAATATAAAGAGAATCTATTCAAAAGAAGGGCAAGGTAACATGATGAAAAAGAATAAAGCCAAGTCATTTGAGAACTGAATGACTGTCAAAGAGCTATTTTATTCTGGCTGCCCCCACTTTTTTTGAGATAGAATCTCAGTTTGCCATCCAGGCTACAGTGCAATGGCAGGATGACGGCTCACTGAAGCCTCGACCTCCTGGGCTCAAGCAATTCTCCCATCTCAGCCTCCCAAGTAGCTAGGACTACAGGCATGTGTCACCATGCCTGGTTAATTTTTGTATATTTTATTGATATGGGGTCTCACTAAGTTGTCCAGGATGGTCTTGAAATCCTAGGCTCAAGCAATCCTTCTACATTTGCCTCCCAAAGTATTGGGATTACTGGTGCAAGCCACCACACCTGGCTTATTCTGCCCTCTTGCAGGTTCCATGAGCCCCTGTCTCCTCCATTCTTTAGGGTTGCATGGGAGTGTATTTCATCTCTGCAGATTAGCTTTGTCCTGCATGTCCATGGCCTTAGTTTAAGAAGTCTGAACTGAGCCCCAAATGTGACACACTACTGCATTACACTCACTAATTATAATCTGTATATTTCTTATTTAAATATCTCAAACAAGAATCTGACTTGCTAGGCTTCACAGTCCACAGAGCATTGACATTTGATCGAGAGATCACCCTGGAGCTCTCATTTGAAGGTGTGTTGGCAAGTGGAGGGGTACGTGGCCCTGTGATGCAAACCTGCCCATGTAAGCCTGCCACTGAATCAGGAGTTACACACTTCCTCAGGGAAGCCTGGAGGGAAGCTTCATAAGAAGATAGCTGTGGGTGGGATGAAATCACAACTATGAATCCCACAATGCCATTGTTGGCAAAATCTTCTTTGCATTTTATTTATCTTGCCAGTTCTTGGCTCTACTGCTCCCAGCTTCCTCTAACTGCTCACTACTAAATAGGGGACCCAGCTCAAATGGTTCTTCTTAGCCTTTAAAGACACCTGTGACCTGGTCCTCCCGTGCCTATCTGAAGTCACCTTTTCAAACAGGAACCTTTGGCAGGTAGGCCTCTACTCTGCTTTTCCGTCATGCCATGCCTAATCCAGAATGTTTTCCACTCCTTCCACCTTTACTTACTTTCCCTTGAAAGTCCTGTTAAGCCTTACCACCCTTATAAAGACTTTCAATATGTCCCATCCTTCTTGACAACGCAAACATTTCCTGTTTGAGTGACCTAGTCAGACCTTCATTATATTTGGTCTTACATTATCCTCTCTTTCAGATGTTTCATCCTATTTCACTAAACAGAGAGGTCTTTGAAGGCTCAAAGTATCTTACAGACAGAGGCTATAAAAGAACTTCACAATGTAACAAAGCCACCAAGAAAGTAAGACAAAGAGCTGGAGGACAGTGACTTCCTGTTGATGAAAGTACTCTATGAACTTAATACTGCAGTTCAATCTCACCCTTATTTTTTAGTAAACCCATCTAAAATATTTGGTCCACGTGATACATGATTTCCTTTCCTATTCTTTTTTTGTTCCTTTTCTACTCCAACTAATGTTATTTTCATTCAACTGATTAAATTCAGTATACATTGAACATCAGATGAAACAATGTGTTGATAAAAAAATTTCAGCCAAAGATAGACTTCAAATAAGAGGTCATTGTTAAGGATTTCAAATGTAAGAGACAGAGTAGCATGTGACACACATACA